CGCGTGCTTGTTAGTTTGATTTTTTAGTGGGCACCCTTAGGTATCTGCCATGCCCGGGTGGGGGATGGCGGCACTTCTCTCCGATGATTTTCCCGAAGAAAAATGCCGCCTGCAGCCGAAGTTTTGAAGCCGACTGGACTAGTCCGTCCTCCTCACCAACAAATTAAAACAGTTCAAAATAGGTACTTAACAGTTTATTTTGTCAATATTTAGCGTTATAATAATATATAACCATTCTCTACGGTGTAATATATTAATACCATATTATTTTCATAATTACCATACAATGTGTGTACTGTGTACACAAAAATACAAAATATTATAAAAGAAGTGGAAGAAATAAAAATGACCGTCAAGAAGACTAATATTTCAGACAGTTTATATTATAACCTGAGCGCTACTACTTACAATACAATTTACAGGAATATTTTACATCACAATACGACTGACCCAATGGATCGTATGCGTTATTATTGTAATAGTTGTGATCGAAGGATGAGGCTTTCTCGGTGACAATATTATAACAATTATCGTGAACCTACCTATATAATAATATGTGTATGGACTCAGACTCTTGTCGACCTTAAGTCCATCATAGTGTCATAGTCTGTTATTATTGCATTGTGTGTAACACGGTCGTAATAGTATATTATTAAATGGCACGTGGCGTATTATCGACGTACTGTATGTCGTTTTGCATTGTGAAATAAAAAAAACTTATCGGTCTTACACTATAAGTGTGTATAAAATACGATCGACGAACCGGCCGATCGAGTTTATAATACGAACAGAGGTATAAAACTGTATAAACCTTTACGTGCCGCCAATTGTACGCTGTACAATGAGTACACAATGCAAGCGCAGTCCGTAACGGCACTGACTTTATTGTGCCACGGATTATTCGAGAACAAATATTTCGATCTGAAAACGATAGGTAATAATATCATGACTTATGTAATGAGTACCTTCGATCAACTGACCTCCGTCGAGAAAATCGAGAACGATTTGAAATAATAATATATTATTATAGTAGAGCCGGTATCGGATCTAGGATTTTTTCATCAAGAACAAGTTTGGGGTAAAAACAAATTTAACCCATTCTTTGGTTGCAGTCTACAATATTAATACGTTTAGTTCTACGCGATATCTGAGTAATTTTATAATAAAAAAAAAGTTCAATATGCTGAACTTTGGGTACTTCATCTCCCAAGCACCCTGCCCTGCCCTCCTAAATCCACCGCTGATAGAGCGTAGTGTTATATTGTTCCTCACGTACAATTTATTACAATCGGCTCCTCGTCGTACTGTACACAAACGCCTTGCGATACACACACAGACTGAACACTTACCGTCTGGACGTCATTGTAATATTATTATTCTCGCAAAAGGCATTATGCGATCGTCCTTAGTTTTGGGATCTCGTATGAGTATACCTACCACGTATCTCATCCTAAACACAATACGAATATTATATGGATAATATAATTCAGACTTTGGACTGTGGTCGATGTTTCTCGACATATTATATACGCTCCGACCGGGACATGATGTCTGATACCTACACGAGTGGGTGTTGAAAACGGACGGCCTTGTCATTATTGCATTGTGTGTAACACGGTCCTAAGTGTTGTACTATTAAAGGCCACGTTGCGTATTATCGACGAAATATTATTTCGTTTTGCATTGTAAAAAAAAAAAAAAAACTGATCGGTTTTACACTATAGGTAGGTATAAAATACGATAGGCGAAATTGAGTCTATAGATATATAGTCTATTATATAATATATAATACGAACAGAGGTACCTTTACCTTTACGTGACACTGAATAGTGTGCTGTTAAATGCGTACAATACACGCGCAGTCTATATACAGTCTATATATATAGCACAATATCGTGCCGACTTTATTGTGCCGTGGACTATTTGACAACAGTTATTTTCCCGATGTATTCGATCTGAAAACGATAGGTAATATTATAGGCACCTACTGTCGAGCACCGAACCGACGTCGAACGAATAGATAGGTCAAATAATACCAATATCCCAACCGATTCAAAATAATATTAAACATTTTGATTCACAAAACATTCTCACTCCAATTTCTCCCTTTATAATGAATTTACACAAATTCTGATTTTTTTATATAGAATAAGTTTAATTTTTATAATTGTTTTGTACTACTTAAGGAGTGTGCTGTACTTCTGTGGCGTAAACTTATATTTTTCAAATGAGAACTTCAATTTGTTTACTGTAAACCATTAGTGGATATATTTTTTTTTAATGTTAATGTACCTATAGTTTGAAATTTGAACAAGTACTAAGAATAATTGTCCTTAAGAATAGTGTTACAAAAATATAAAATGGATGTACCTATAAATATATTGGATCGAGTTATTAATGTAGACACAGATTAATATTACGTATCACTAAAATATTATTCAAATCACTATATAGCAATCATATCTCATAAACCCATTATCATTGGCCTATAGATGATAACTATTCTCCTTAGTAAAGAACTCGAAAACAACTCGTTCGAATTTTGATTTTGATCATATGTCAACATGTTCAAAAAAATTATCCGATAAATATTTTACAACAGTTTCTATTTCAACAAGACACAACTTACTCGCTCCATAGGCGGCACAACAAATCTCAAGGGTTTTAAAATATGGTCTTCAATGTTGTATTTAAAAATTTCAAACATCACATTTCGAATAACCGCATTATTGAAGAAAAACTATGGGGGGGACGATCACGCTCGGAAAATCTCTCTGTACAACCCCGCCACATTGTTCCCCTCGCGCGCGTTTAAATCTCGTGTTCATACTCGACGGAATTTATATTGTAATTAGCTCCTGGCCGTCTATCGTACGAAATACAAAATCGCCCTACAATACACACTTATGCCGTCTGGACTTTATAATATTATATAGGTTGGTACGCAAAAGGCATTATTCGATTGTCCGCGATTTCGGTATCTCGTACAACAAGTACGCGTATCTCGTCATATTTTACCGTCGACTGCACCGCAGACATTATATAATATTGTAAATTTGTGCTGTCGACCATACGTTGCATAGGGATCGTAATAATTAAGTACATACCTGCCACACTACCCGATCCAGCTTTACGCTTCGACGACACTGTTTTTTTTTTATATACCAAACTAACGGTATTGACGACATCAGATTTTACTGTCGTTGTCGTCGTCGTACCTATAATATGACTTCCACGTTTTGCCCGCTATTTATGAAGTACACGACGCCGCTGTTCAATACCGTCACAATAATATTAAGTACCTACTTATATATTATTATTTTTAGATTCTGAGAGGAAGCTATTGGTTTTGCAATGGTGTTTATTATTTTTTCTTTATATATATCCTGTACCTATACAAAATTTCCACCAGAAGGAGTGCTTCGATTTCAACATATAGTACTTTATCTTTTAGCAAATTGGATCAGGATGGTACTTTACAGGGGTAATTTTTCGATTTTAACAATAGTTATTTAATGCCACGGAAATAACCACCTGAAAATTCCGAAAAACAGTTAAAAATGGGATTTTAATTTATAACGGTTTGCTTATGACTAGTGTTTGAAGTATGAGAAATATTTCATGAAATATTTCAAAGGAAATATTTCATTTTGAAATATTTCACCAAGTTGTGAAATATTTCACAAAAACGTGAAACATTGAAATTTTTTTTAACACAAATAAAAACACAATTTATTTATTTTTTTAACACAATGTTCAGTGTTCTAAATTCTAATGTCAGAATTCAGTAAGTATACAATATACATGTATAATATTGTATACCTACTTGTATCATTTAAACATTAAAATATTTAAAAATGTTGAATACCAATTTAAATGTATAATACCAAAGGTTAGGTATACATACAGGTACCATATAGTGATGAAGGTAATTTATGACAATTATATGTAAATATAAAACTTATTTAAAAATAAAACAAAATATATTAAAATACTTAAATATTTCACATATTTTGAAATTTCATGAAATTTTCAAACACTACTTATGACCATAGAAGCGAATGAAAAATAATAATGATATAATATTCATTCAACTTACATGATATGATACCTAACTAATAACAATACCTATAAAATATCCAGACTGACAAACCATCTCAGCTGGAAATCGTTTTTCTTATACAATGATATTATATCATTGAATTCAAGTTTAATACAATCCATTATACAATGACCCACCTGTAACCTACTGTACAGCAGAGCGACATCCACTTACCCGGGTTTTTTTTTTTTTTTATTGGATAACCCTCGGCAACATAGGCCATTGGGTGTGGGGAGGGAACTGTGGGGTTTGAGGTAGAGTAGGTTGGTGTATGTGTGTTTTTTTTTGGCAGAATTTCTAATAGAGCACCCGTAACTTTCTGCCATCCCTCGGGTGGGGGATGGCGGCACTTGTTCTCCGGACACCACGACTTGCCCGGAGAAAAATGCCACCGGCGGCCGAGGTTTCGAACCAGCGTCAGCTGCGTCCTAGCCAACGCCTTGGTTATATATTATTAGCATGACGTATAACTGCTATCAACTCATAACATAATATTAAAACCGTTATCGAAAACTAAAATATCGTTTTACAATATTTTTTTACCGAAAACTCTAGCGATGAGTAGAATTTTATTTTTTATTTTTCAAATATTATTCCCTCGGGTTTCGATTTATTGTGTACATGGGAATTCCGAGTCGCTGTACAAACATTCAATACTTTCGTACGATGTAATAATAATTATCAATGCGCGATTAATTCAATTATTACAATAATAATAATAATAGTCAGTTCGTGTTTAACCACCGTCCGTGAAACACGTGTGTTATATCGCTAACGTTTTTATAGCTGCCGATAGCACGTCTACCTTATCGTCGTCCAGCAGGTAATATGATTTTATTATTATATTAAAACCCCTGCACGCCGTACTATTCGTGTAATGAATAAATCAAAGGGCAAAATGCCCAACACCAACACTTTTACCAATAAATTTTCAAATTCCAAAAGCTCAAATGCTTCATCTAAATCAAACCTACCATCACCACTCAAACAAACAACTAAAACACTTTCGATTCCTCGATCATCCGCAACCACGGCCGCGGCGGTTACAAATCGCTGTACTCCCCCCACGCGCAATACCACCAGCAACTCGCCGCAACGTACCAACAATAAGAACATTATACCCTCCTCCTCTCCCGCACCGCAAGCCGATAACACACACGCTACTGCCGTTATCGCGACTCACACTAATTACGACAACTCGACCAGTCCACAGACATCATTAGCCAATACCTCCAGTACTACATTAATCAATAACACAGATAATAATATAAATTCCACATATGCAGCTGTCACGGATATAATCCCGAGCAGGGATCACGCCATCGTTTTTAATTCTATAGATGGTGTACCCCAAATACAATACATTTTAGCGATCGGAAAAATAGTACAACCCAATAACATAAAATTCGTCTCAAGAATATCAAATAATCGTTTTTGTATTTTCTTGTCAAATAAGCAAATTTTGGACAACTTAATGCAAACAACAAATCATATTAAAATTCACGACCATGTTATTCAAATACGCAGACTTATAAATCCAGCAAAAAGATTTATCATATCTAATGTATGTCCATCTATACCAAGCCAAGCAATTGTAGATGCCCTAAAAAATTTAAATATTGTTCCAATCTCACAAATTACACACCTTAAAGCCGGAATCAAGGTAGAAGGCTATGAACATATAATGAGTTTTCGCCGCCAAATTTATATAAATTACGATGATGTCCCTAAGCTCCCTAGCTCATTAATAATCAACGTAAACGATAATCAATTCAGAATATTTTTCACTGACGACAAAATAACTTGTTTTTTATGTAAATCGGTTGGCCACACCACAACAAACTGTAATAAGAACACTGAAGATAAATTTAAAAGTGATCATCCGTCTGTCTCCAATGCAACCAACACTCTTGATATTACCACTGAAGCACAAATAGAAGACACTCTCCCACCCTCAACACCAGATTCAGAATTCCTTGAAAAAATCACTACGGACTGGTCCAATGAACCAGAGCCATCTTCACTATCAAGCATCACTCCGGAGGTATCCCATGACTCACCTCTAAACGAGACCTATAAAAGACCTTTCTCCGAATCGTCATCCTCAAAACCCCCCTCCTCACCAAGCAATCTAAACTCCCCCACGACCATTCCGATCAAGGAAAACGCCAAAAAAAAACCCAAAATACGTTCGCGATCAAACTCGTCAAACAGACAAGAAAACGCCTTTGAAGAGGGCCTAAAAACAGTGGAAGAATTTTTCACCACCAACGATACCTCACCAATTACTTTCCTTCAATTTAGATACATCCTAGATAATTTTACTCTCAAATCAATGAACATTCACACGCTGACCAAAAATGCAAATACCGATTTAATCTCTCTAATGAACTTAATAGACTCGATTCGAGATATAGTAAAGGATCGTAAACTCAAATTACGCCTTTCAAAGCTAGCACAACTCCTGTTCCAAGCACTACCCCCTCAAGATTCCCTTGCATAAGCCATACTCAATCAATATAACACACACATAGCTGAACAACCATATCATCACTCACTTCATAACTTATAAAAATATATTATCTATGAAACATATTATTCAATGGAACATAAATGGTCTACAAAAGCACTACACTGACATCCACCGAGCAAAGTTCTCCATTCAACCCATCGCCTTCTGTTTCCAAGAAACAAATCTTAGACCCAACGCTTCCTTCACAATACGAGGATACAATGGATACTTCAAAAATCGTCAAACAAATCTCCGTGCAAGTGGTGGAGTCGCCGTCTTTGTCAGCACCCTCATTGAAAGCACGGAAATTCCCATACAATCAAATCTAGAAGTAATAGCCATCTCTTTACACACCAAAAATCCACTATGCATTTGCAATATTTACTTGCCAGACAGCTCCAACTTACTACTCAACGATCTAAACAACATAATCAGACAACTACCAAAACCATTTTTATTCTTAGGTGACTTCAACAGTCGCAACCCAATTTGGGGATCTAACTACACCGACGCTAGAGGAAAAATCGTAGAAAAATTCCTCGACAACGAACAAATCATTCTTCTCAACACTGGAGAACACACTCGACATAATGTAGCAAATAACTCCTTCTCAGCTATTGACTTGTCAATAACCAGCTCCTCTCTGGCACCTAAAACAAAATGGAAAGTTCTCACCGAATATAATTGTAGTGATCACTGGCCGATATCCATAGAGTTACTTGACCAATCCCCCCAAATACCTTTTCCCCCCAAATGGAACACCAAAAAACCTAATTGGGAACTATTCAACGACCTCATAAGTCAATCAATCACGGAGAACCCAATAGAAATTGACTCTCCCATCAATCAAACCATGATCAATTCTTTAACTAATAAATTCACACACACTATCCTAACGGCAGCCACTAAGGCAATAGGTAAAACAAACCATAACACCAAAAAGAACCTAGTCCCTTGGTGGAACCATGAATGCAACGAATCAATAAAACGGTACAAAAGATGTCTCAATAAATTTAAAAAATCAAAATCCCCTCTCGACCATATTCAACTAAAAAAAGCCCGAGCTCAATCCAGATACATCACCAAAAAAAGCAGAACTGAAACATGGCAAAAATATACCAGCTCTATTAATACCAGCACTTCCTCAATGGAAGTCTGGAATAAAATCAAAGCAATAAAAGGTATATCGTACCACCGCTTACCCTTGGTTCTACAACATAATAATACTTCACTCTCAACACCATCGGATATTACCAAAGCCTTCGCGGAAGTCTTCCAAAAAAACAGCAGCGACTCAAATTACGACCCAGAATTTGCCACCTTCAAAGACACTTTTGAAATGTATACCACAAACGAACCAGAGTTAGACTCTCATCCCCACTTAAATTTTTTAAACATGCCTTTCAGCACTTCTGAAATGTTGGACGCTAGATCAAACTGCAACAGCAAAAGCCCAGGACCAGACGATATACCTTATTCTTTCATCAAAAACCTCCCTAGCAACGGCCTAAATCAACTACTTCAAATATACAATTTAATCTGGGAAACAGGTTTTTACCCTGACCCATGGCGCAATGCAATAATCATACCGATTCCCAAACCCAATAAAAATAAATTCAACACATCCAATTACAGACCAATCTCCCTCATAAGTACACTAAGTAAACTCTTGGAAAAAATGGTCAACAAACGCCTAACATGGTTTCTAGAAACATCTAAACTTCTACCCATCAACCAATGTGGCTTTAGGCGAAATCATTCAACCTTAGACCACCTCTCAAGTCTACACACCGATATCTGCAATGCAATAAATACTAAACAACATCTTATACTTATTGCACTAGATCTTGAGAAAGCCTATGACATGGTGTGGCGAAACAGAGTCCTTCATATCATTCATAAATGGGGCATAAACGGAAACATCCTTACTTTTCTCAAAAATTTCCTCACAAATCGCTCGATACAAGTCAAAGCTCACCACAATTTATCCAACTTGTACCCTACTGAAAATGGCCTCCCCCAAGGATCAGTCCTCAGCGTAACCTTGTTTCTTATAGCCATACATGACATATTTCTCCAAGTCCAAAAACCCACCAAACACCTAATCTTTGCTGATGATTGCTACATATACTGCAGTGGCACCAACATAAATACTACCCGAGAAATACTTCAAAACGCACTCCATACTCTACAAGAATGGGCGAATAAATCTGGATTCATTTTTTCTCCACAAAAAAGCAAAGGCATACAATTCAATCTCAATATAGACACCACCCTTTACCTTAAAAACACTCAAATCCCCTTTCATAAATCACTCCGTATACTAGGTTTGATTTTTGATGATAAGTTAAACTGGATTATGCACCTTAAACAGCTAAAAGTTGCATGCAAAGCCAAATTGAATGTTATAAAAACTCTCGCCAACCATACATGGGGAGCAGATAAAAAGTCTTTGTTAAACATATATAAAACATTAATTCTATCACAAATCAATTACGGATCTCCAATCTACAATACAGCCAAGCCAAGTCATCTCAAAACACTAGACCCTATACATCACGAAGGAATTCGTCTCTCGATCGGCGCTTTCAGAACAAGCCCCACAGTAAGTATATTATGTTACGCAGGAGAAATACCCCTTCAACTCATAAGAGACAAAACCACTCTTCTACACTGTATCAAAAGGAAAACCACTCCCAACCACATAGGCTATATACCTCTCCTCAAAAACCACAACCCAGACATCAATCACAATGTCAAAAAAAACTTACAACAATACAAGATATCTACTCCAATTTATGCAATAAAATGAATATACACACCTCCGTCGAAGAAAAAATTACCTTTCAAAAAAACCCTCCCTGGCTATGGAACATAAAATTATCAACAGACTTACTCACACTCTGTAAACATGAGATAAGTCACAAAATTATAACATCTCACTTTCACGAAATTATCCAATCTCGTTTCCCTAATCACTCTCTAATCTTCACGGATGCCTCAAAGTCTGAAAACGGTGTCGGCTTCGCAGTTGTTCATAATCAAACGACCATTAAACACAAGCTTCCCACAATAACAAACATATTCACCGCCGAAAACTATGCAATACTCGAAGCAATTAAACTAGCAAATTCGCTTCAAACAAATAACTTTTTGATTATCAGCGATTCCCTCAGCGTTCTAACAGCACTAAAAAACCCATGGCCTAAAAGTGAAATAACTCAAATTACCCAATCTGAACTAATCAACACCCAGAAAACCTTCGAATTTATGTGGGTACCCTCCCATGTAGGTATAAAAGGTAATGAAATGGCTGATGAAGCAGCCTCACTTGCCTCTAATATTCTTCACAACAGTACCATCGACAAAATATCATCCTATGATATTTTTACGTCCGTCAAAAATAAAATCCTTTTGTCATGGCAACACCACTGGGACTCCATTCCACCCACCAACAAACTTAAACACATAAAATGTTCTGTGAAACAGTGGTCTACACCTCCGGACCTCAACCGACGTCAAAATATTGCCATCACTCGTATTAGAATCGGCCACACCTTTCTCACACACTCCTTCCTCATCAGTAAAGACCAACCCCCTATATGCAACACGTGCCAAACCCGTATCACCATAAGACACATCTTTGAAGAATGCCCAGTATACGAACCATCCCGCACTCTTCTCAACCTACCACCCAACATCAAAGAAGCTCTAGATGAAGAACACACTTTAAAAACTATCGAATTCATCACCAAAGACAACCTTATCAACAAAATATAGTTTCAACATAAATCAAATTGTAAATCTATTTAAACAAATATTGTAATTTTTTTTTTTTTTTTTTTTTAATATTGTAATTTACTTTTCCTTGTCTTTTTTTTTCTTTTCTTTTTGTTAAACTTAAACATAAATGTTGGCTAATAACCTTTGTAGTTGAAGCCTGTAAAACCTTAAATAAAAAAAAAAAAAAAATAATAATAGTAATAATAATAATAAAAATAATAATAATAATACTTGTTATTATACACACGGTGAAAGCGAACTGTTCGAACGATTTCGAATTAATTTTTCGGTCGGTTTGCACAGTTTCTTCATGTCGTCCGGGTTTTTTTTTTATTCCGTTTTCATCCCTCCTGCTGTATACCTACGGTTTCCATATTTTGTGGCACGCGATTTACGCTTTTTTGTTGTTCCACAAGTTTTAATTGAATTTCGGGACACGGGATTTAAAACCGGAATCGAAACTGATCGAAAACTATGTTCGTTTGACGCGGACGGCGGTGGTTGCGGCAGGTACGCTACGCCCTTTGCGGCCAAATCTTCTCCGATTAAAAATAATCGAAATCAGATGTGCTGATTGGATACACTGTATTCCATCCAATCTGTATCAAATCCAGCCTATATATTATAGTTAACTTGTACCTATATGTACCGATATAGTCGCGTGTGCGGAGAAGAACTTAACGATTTCGTCCGTCGCGCAGCTATCATTGCTCGTCGTCGTAGTATATAATAATATATAAGGCTAAAGCTAATATATATATATATATGTATTGCGTGCATAGGCAGTAAGTAAAGACTAGAGATTCAATTACAAACCTAAAGCTATACATTTAATTTCTATTCGTATTAACGTCGGTCGTCTCGACTTGAAATAAATACGTTTTGTTATTTTCTCCTGAACCGTTATCGATTTTTTTCCCCTGCTTCTATATAATTTATTTCATACCGATACACCGTGTCTGCGTAATAGACACGTTCCGATAATTGAATAATCTAGAAAAAAAATCTCTCATTATATTACACAATATAATATACACAATGTTTTATTTGTATTTCATTCCTTCGACTCGAATTATATTATGTATATATAGCTGATTATAGTGTCGAAGAATTTTCGTCACAATTTTTCAATTACCAGGAATCTAGAGAAAAATTAGAAGGTTTAGTACGGATAGTCTATAACCATGTTCGTTGTGCGTGAGGGTTTA